AATTTCCTGCCCCTGCCCATCAATCAGCCTGCTGGCTGGCCTGGCTGCCCCCCCTACTGTACCCCCTGCCCCTGGCTCCCCAGTAGGTACTGTATAGTGTACTCCTACCCTATATGTATCTACCTATGCCCTGTATATACTGTAGCAGCCCCTACAGGGCTAATAATAAATTCACGCTTTTTTTGATTGCCAGCTCATCAGCAGTACTAGCTGATCCAGTACAGGTATGGCTAATCGCCACGGTGAGTCGATAGCGTAGAGAGTCAGCTTTTCAGATCAGTACCTACCTTACTTATCCGTGTAAAACTCGCTCCGCAATTGGCTAATTACTGGTGGGAGCTCAGGGACCAGGAGCAGGTACCCAGTACTCAGTAACCACTGGACGGATTTCCCTAATTTTCAAACTGGGAGTACCTGTATGCTAAAGCATTAGACTCCGGTACGTGCGCTAGCCGTAGTGTACGTTCCCACGGTAAGCGTCACGCTTTTCTGATTTCTGGTTCCCCACTGTGCACAGAATGCCATCATTTAACCGCTATAGCTACAGCTATGCGCAGCTGGATTTGGGGTCTCATACATAGTATGTAGCTACTGTATGTACCACAAGACTCTAGCTACAACAGTTACAGTACAGTGCTAGCACCCACTTCCCCTGCCTTTCTCCCCCAAATATTGCTACACCTCAGCCTCCCTCTGGCACAGATAGCAATAGCACATACTTGAACACATGTGCTAGCCCATGGTACATCTTCCTGGCTACCCACCCTACCTATCCTACCTCTGGTACTGGTACAGTAGGGCAGATACATTTTATTTGCCATTTTTCGGCGTTTTATTTACATTTTAATTACTGTACATACTATACATCAGGAGAATTGCCTCAATGAGGCGAGGAAAACTATATAGTTTATGTGGTGAGAGGTGGGGGAGGTGGGGAGGTATAGGGCACAGAGTGGAGGGAGGTGAGCCTTCGGGCAAGGCTCGGGCAAGCCTCAACTCGCGAGTGCTTAGGTCTTAACTCACATCCCATGCCTTCCACTCCTTCCCCTGTCTCTCCCCACCTCCCCCACCCCCTACCATATAAATTACATCATTCTTCTCGCCTAATTGAGACGATTCCATTGATGTATAGTATGTGTTGTAAATAAAATGTAAATAAATTGCCAAAAAAACGCGAATAAATTATATATGACCCATCATATCAGTACCAGAGGTTGCATGGCTAGGCTGGATGGCGGAATGTGTTGTGTATAGTACCGGATATGCCCTACAGTACTTTGATTGGCAGTATCTAGCAGAGGGACCGCAGGGTGGAGCAAATTTGGATGGGGGGAAGGCAGGAGGAGTGGATGAAGACACTGTACTGTACCCGTGGTAGCTGAGGCTGTGCGGTACATACAGTAGCTACATAGCATATGTGAGACTATGAATCCAGCTTCCCATAGCTGTACCTACAGTGGTTAGATGCTGGCATTCCAGCCGTGGGCACCAACGCTTTTTAATGTGCCTTGTCACGGCTGCGGTCACATTTAAATGCCGGAAATTCTTAATTATGGCCTGGTCGTACGACCAGGCCTGCTAGCAGCGCCTGACAGGCATACGCGTACTCTACATCTACAACTAGTATACCGGTCTACGACACTTCCGAATATCAAGACATACACGGTACCTAGGTGAAGGGTCGGAGCCCACGAGCTTGCAAGGCACGCGGATTTTATTGGCACCGGCATTTAAATGTCGCCCGGATTTTAAAAGCCGGCCGACCGCGTTTGGAACTCGCCGAGGACCGATCCCCCTTGAGCGACACTGAGCAGGTTAGAGTCAGAGCTGCTGACATATATGAACATCTGCCCAATCACTCAAGCGAACGAGACGTACGAAGACTAGCGACGTCGAGGCAAGGCGACCTCGGCGGCATCGAAAACACGGTGTGGTTCGGGATGTGTTTGTGCATGGGGTTGAAGTTGTTGAAGTTGTCCAGGAGATCCATACCAATAGACAGAATTCTATACTCGCATAGACATGAGTGGCTTGTGTAACGGCGCCATGCATAGTCTAGAACTCACCCGAAACGAGCTCTCCCAGACAAACGCCTGGAGCTGCTCGTATCCCTTGAATTGACGACGATACGAACACGCTGTGTGCGGGACATCAGAATGAGCCGATGATGAGCAATTCAGGAGACGTACCAAGCACTGATAGGACTGTTGATTGGATCTCGCGAGAGCGACAACATTTATCATGTACTCCTCCCATTTGAGGTATCGATCAACCTGTAAGACTCCGTCAAAGGATGAGCGACGAAGAGTTTCATAGGGCGCACACCTCCCGGGTAACATCACTGCTCGAAGAGGTCGAATTGTAACTCAGCGCTATAAGACCTGGACAGTCTAGAATGCACAAGCCCGAACTTCTCGTCAAGACGTCAATCCTGTCGCCGTCATCGAGTAAGTATAGCGGCAGATGCGCGAACACTCTCGAAATCGAGAGCAGGAGTGCCATAGAGCTAATGGAGGAGCTCCTCGTCCTGCCATACTCGGGTTCAATGCCACAAGAGTGAGTGACGATTGCGTAAGCAAACGTGCGACGTTGCATAGCGGAGCCCGAAGTCCTCGTTGTTGTGCGCCTAGAGTCCGCTTTCGAGTTTGTCGAGGAGGCGCGTGGACCCTTCGCGATTCAAAACGGCAGGGTTGCGCTGCTCAGCGTTGACCTTCGTCCAAAGAATCTACATATTGACGTCAGTAGGAAGCTGTCCCAACATGGCTAGAGATACATACAGTCGTGGGGCGGCATCACACCAGCACAGCCGCTCTGGATCTCGAAGAAGTCTTCCTTCCTCCCATCGCCTTGTCAATAGCACCAAGTCTTGCAGAGCCGTTCGCCGTCAATTTTGCCCAAGAACTCCTGAACCCACTCCTAAAACCTGCTCAGCGCGTTGTGACAGCGTCAGTTAGCGGAGATCCACTGATTTAGCGGCCAAGTGGTATACCTCGGCGGCAGTACCGATCTTCTGTACTGCGAAATAGTCTATTTCCGGAGTCTGAGAGCGACGAGCTCGCCGGCGCAGACATGGTGTTGGCACTACAAAACAGCCAGCTTTTGGTCGTGGAGTTGAACATGAACGAGTCGTCCAACTTGTATTCGCGAACGGTCGCCACGCGTCGCACCGGTACCCGCGAGCTCGCGATGCGCGACTTGCGAAAATAGTATTAGGGCTTGGTTTCACAGCCAACATGCATTGCGTACCAGAACCGCTCAGATGTGTCGCGCTCGCGGACACCTGACTGATGAAGGCAGCGCAGCGCTGTACAGGCCCGCCGCGCGTCCCCCGATGAGCGCAAGCTTTTGAAACTGTCTCCTCTGCGCTGGTGGATGCTGGTTATAACATTAGCATCGAAAGATTGTACAGCGTACAGGGAGAACATTACGTGTATCACGGGTGCGCATTGGCGTTGGCGAAAAGCAGCAACGTTTTGAGGGTTTCGTCCTTACTCGTCTCGTTCAAGTCGTGCCACGGACTGCCAACGCATGGCCCAGCGGGACGCGATGCACCGGTCCCGACGAGGACCGATGATGAAGTCGCGAAGCATCTTAGTTCTCTTGACCGCGTCCAACAGGAGGTTGACGCATACGAGGTGTGCGCGGGCTCCGCTCACCATCTAGACAATATTAGCAACGCTCGTTCGATTTGATATCTGCAGAGGATTTACCTCCTCGTTGCGTATGAAGGCTTCAGAGATATGTTGGTGAGTGCCCCTTCCTTCCAGTATATGAATAAGCTCAACGCCTTGCGGCGTAGGCTAGAATGTGTCAATGAACGTAATATGCAAGAGCAGGACTATTAAGCTTACTTTCTGACATAACCATACAGATGCTGCAGTCACCCAGCTTGACTACGCCAGGCGTCTCGGCCAGAGTACAGGCGGGACGCCAAGCGTATGAGCGACTGACCCTTCGAGAGCAGACAAGTATTGCCACGAAGGCGGGAGTAGTATTGTCATTTCAGCGCTTTCCGGTAAGACCTTGCGTAGGAGATGAGTAGAAAGTGGGAGCCAATGTCAAAGCTGCAATGTATGGACGCGAGCCGAAGGTCTGAGATGGCCGTTGTTGGTTCGTTCTGCAAGCCGGCGACAGACGGCACGCGCGTCCGGCAATCACCGTGGACTTGACTCTTGACACGACTCAGAAGCGACTCCGATCACACCGCCAGCACAACACGCGGGTTTGTACGAAAAGATGTCGGGCGTCAGAATCTGCACCTCCTTCGCGAAGTGCAATCGAGTGCGAATACTTCGAGCAGCCGCTGTGACTGATAGCTCCTGGGCGCTCCTGTCGTATCACTCCCCTCGATGCTCTCATCCGCGCACGCCCAACGCCCAACGCATTTGTCCGGATTGACCCAGCTTTCGTTCTATACTGCTCATGGTGCAGCCGCGATCTGTACACGATGTCGAGTAATTTACTTTCCCCCTCCACACGATGTGCGTCCGGTTAAGGACAAGTCGACATGGCCAACAGGGCGCCGGAAATAGTCGAAGGACTTGCGTTCAGAGAAGGATGCGAGCTGGTGCCAACTCGGCTCCTACAAAGAGAAGGACCATGTGTAGAAATGATTACTCTTGCCCTCGTCTAGGCGCATCATGGGCATCACTACTGCTGTCGCGCTCTGAGCGCCCGCGACGCACAATGCTGTGCCGCGATGTGTCAAGAATTGAGATGTCTCGACGGAGATGACCGTGTTACTATGCTTATCGCCCTCAATTCAGCCGCCGTCTTCCGGATTGAAGCAGGCTGTCACGAAGTCGACCTCGTCGCGTGTTGACCGTAAGCCGCGCGGGCTCGCCGTATAGCTCATTCGTCCCTTGCCTCCCATTTTCCATCTTGCTCACATCTCTCACCAATCTACACCCTTCTGCTCCCGTACATCGCTTCCGGTGTCTAGCCAACTCGATAACTTGCTCATTCCCGGTCTCACAATCAGGCGCAGCATTGGCGGGTATCGCCATCTCACGCTTCCATTTCAGACTCATCAAGGGTATTGATGGTGCTCATCCGTGAGCGGCTTCGACTATGTGAGATGGGCGGTGCGGGAAAGAGGCTGACTATGCTGAACCCATTCTACGAACCCATCAACCTATGTCGCTATGGGCGGGAGAACTTCGCGAGATGCGCGACCGCGATGGACTCTGGGGTGGTCTTCTGTCTACAACTTACACAGGCCCCGTGTCTTCCCGTTCTGCGCATCCTACTGGTTTACATGCGTGTATAGACATTTTTCCGTCGCCAGAGATGATCGCATACATTGAGGTAGGCGCAATACTTCAAACAGCCTCGTGTCCCAACTCTCGCTACATGTTGGGCCCTACACAAGCCGGTCTAGCATGCTGGTCGGTCGCGTGGGACAAGGGATCCCATCACTTCAGACGCAGCTACGTTAGTACTAAATAGTACTGAAAAGGACGATAGAGCTTCTCGGGTACCGGATCCCTCTCTGAAGTGAGCCAGACGTAGGATGAGCACAGACCGGAGCATCACCCAACCTTGTCGCTGGGTCACGATACAACTGCATTCGTATTCAACGGGGTTTGCTAAGATCGAGAGATACTGCCGGCCCAAATAAATATATTATAAGAATAACTACGAGATTATGTACATGTTGTCTGTACAAGATAGCCATCTAAGATAGGAAGGGAGTTCATGAAGAGGCCATCACAGGACAGACAGCACTACATCATGGTCTAAGCACTGGTGTTCAAAATGAAGGGAATTAAGTAAAGAGTGACAAGAGATGAGTGAAGAATTGTTGTTGGGAGGATTGGGAGGAATGTGAATGGTGCTGTTCAAAGTGAGAAAGTGGTACTATGATGTGATCAGGGCTAGAGTGGACAGAGGTGAGGGGGGTTGTATGAGCCTAAGAAAGATCAAATGAAGCAAGATCTTTAGCAACCCAAGAAGCCTGATGTGCCACACAGTACACTTTGATAACTCATGTCTGTTCAAAACTCTCAAGCATCACCGCCCACGACTCTTACAAACCATCCGAAGAAACCTGCGACCCTCCCCACGAGAGAGACGCGTGCACCGCCATTGTCCGCGGGCGCACCCTGCACGTTGATGCCGGCCTCGACAGCGGCATCTGCCCCCATATTCTCGAGGGGGAACGCCTCTTGATCCCCATGGGGACCGTGAGCCTCTGCATCGGCGGCTTGCACCGGAGGGGCATGCATGAGCGCCCTCACGCCTTCGGTGACGGCACCGGCCTTGGTGCGTCCTTGGTAGACTGAGCGCAATCACAGCCTTACACGATACACGACGTACTCGCAGACGCAAAGCGCCGGGTATCTTTACTGGTTAAGGCGCGAGGATTGGTGTTGTGCGAGAGCATGGCTGCGTGCGCGTCAGCGAAAGGATAAGGCACAACCTCGGCAACGACGGACCGATGCCTTGAGCGCACTAGCGATTATGATGGGGACCCGGCGTTGAGACGCGGGGCGGCGGGTATAGGTGGTGGTTGAGAGTGATGGTGGTTGAGAGGAAGGAGAGAGGCGGGTGGGGAACAGGCATGCCCCGCGGGCATCGATTAGTCGATAGAAGCCTGATCGAAGGCGCTATTGAGCCGCGTTTGTCTCGGCGTTCTTTGGCCGGCGTCTTGAGATCGGCAATCTGTGAACGGGCTCATCTCGGATCCCTCGGATTTGGACCGGAAGTACCGAGAGCACGGTAACGAAGGCTAACGAGGGTTAAAGCGAAGGCCGACGAGGGATAACGAAGGCTAACGAAGGCCGGCGAAGGCTGAAGCGCTGACGATCGGTACCCCGTGTGTACCGCGGGGCAACCACGAGGACTGGAAGGCCGCTGCGCCTTCACATGTGCTTATTCCCATTTGGGTTTATTGACGTTTGTTCCCTCCGGCAGCTTTCGCTCCGACGGCAAACTCCGAAGCAAGGCGGCGATCTCCGTCCTCGTGTCTGCTCGCGTTCTCGCAACTTCAAGCCCACTGGCCCGCCGTTATGCTTCCCCTTCACCCATTGTCTCATTGTTTCTTATGTACATATCGCATTCGTATCTAATTCACTGGTTTCGAGCAACCTCGAACTTCACGACGGGCGACGCGAAGCGTAGGGGTAACAATGAGGGCGTCGGATTCGGACGCGAGGACGGAGCGGCCATTCATTACGATACGAAGGCTGCTGAGACCACGTACGAAGAAGTCGACGTAAACGCCAGAATTCCGCGAGTATGGAAGGCGAATTGAAGTGCGGTCTTCGAGACCATGACCATGTGCATGGCTGCACTCTGAACGTCTATGAACCACGCGAAGATGTCAGTAGTTTTGTTATAGTCGTAGTATCAGAACGACGCACCCGGCACGGGTGGCTGTAGCCGAGCGCGAGATCTCCGTCCGTTCAGAACCCTCAGCGAACTTGGTCCCCGTGCTGCTCGGGTTGGCGAGGTCGCTGGATACTATGACGCCCTGCACAGAGCGTACGATGTCGAATCTCCCACGTACGTGATAATCATCTAGCCCAACACGAAGCTTCCTCAGACAATCGAATGCGTCGAACTGACCATGGCAGAATACATCTCAACACTCACAATATTATCAGCATCTCTACAAGATTACAAACTTAATCCCGCAAATAGGGCCGCCGCTCCAACCACTGCGCCTCCAGCAACCTGCGCGAGACGATAGCTTCCACCGTGACTAGTGGCAGCGGTAGCCTCCGATGCTAGTCTCCCGCACACGTCTTCAACCGCCGCGTTCTCTGTACCAATGACTAACAATGCCTCATCTCTCCGCGAATCGTCCTCCGGCATGACTGTCGCCGTATAGAAACCGATCTTGTTCGCGAATGGTTGCAACTGCGCGGCATGGCCAGCAGGCACAACGTATACCGATACTGGCACACGCCTGGTAACATGACTGAGATCGTCTAGAAAGTCCTCGCGTGCATTGATACTAGCGGAGCGCACGGGAGTACGCGACGAAAGGGCGATAGGGCGATGCGCGGAATCCGTCGGCTTTGTGGGCGATTTCGAGGTCTCCTCGTGGCGCTTGAGGACCACAAGTTCAGCACGCTGACTAGGCGGGGAATTGGATTGTTCGGCCATGGCAGAACTTGGAGGGTCGAGAGCAGCTACAGCCATTGCATGCTCTTGTCTTCGTCGGGATTCCGCCTTCAGGAAGGGGTTCTTGCCTACTGACGTGGACGGGGAAGGATGTGCGGCCGAAGCGACCATGTGCTCCGCCTCGGAGTCGAGGTGCAGAGAGTTGAGAGCATCTGCAAGACTGAAGTCCGGTGTTGTAACGTCCGCGGTCGGTCGTTCCGGGCAACCCTGCCTCGGATGGCCTTTGCGAGGTTTCTTGCACGTTTGACAGTGGGGTTTTCTCCTGCCGGGGCTGGCGAATGATGTTTTACTGACGGCAATTTCGGGAGTGGTTGGTGCACGGGAGGAAGCGCGTGTAGTTGGAGGCATAGCGAAAGGGCCAGAGTGAGGTTGGTCGTAGTCAGGTTGGAACTTCAAGCTTCAACCGCACGTGTGCACGTCGACGTCTTGTTGCCGAAGTAAGGCCGAACGTCCAGCGCGTGCGCTCAGCATCCGCAGCGATTGCTGAGCCCAGCTCCTTACCATCACGGGATACGTGCGTCGTGTATTATTCAAACGTTGAAAGATGATATGTATTGCCGACACGGGGTGGTGGTAGAAGATGAGGCGCAAATCGCACACGCGTACGCGCGGTTGAAGCGCTGAGCGCGCACGTCTGCAGTTACCTGACGCTTGACACCCACCACCACGGTCCGCGGACAATGACCACGACGTCTGTCTGGCCCAGCTCCATATCTCCTCCATGGACCCTCTGTGCTTATTCGTCTCTATATACCTTGACACAGCTGCTACCACGTCGGTAACATATCCTTCGGTGAAGACTCGACTTTAGTGGCGGACAGCATTCAGTCTTCCCATGTACGAAAAACTGCCAGCTCCCGAAAGAGCTAGAAGAGCTGTCCTCTCGAGTCCTACTCTAAGGGTATCATAGCGTGTTCGAAGCGCGGGGTGAAGCCGTCATGCGTCATTCGGTCGGGATTTTGCAGTCACGATATGGCATGCAGTGAATATTCGGGGTTCAATGGCGAAGGTGACAGTGAAATAGGACGAGAAGCCGTGAAAGGACGACGAGCGCCAGGAATGAGCTGCGCCGCTTTGACGAACTGGCGTAATGTGAACTGTGCGTGTCTCGGTCCCAGTCGGAACAGCGTCTGTTAGTCTCTTTAGATGCGTGCTGACGATGTACCTGCTAGGTCAATATAACATCGACGAGACGCGGCTAGAGCTGGTGGCTCTCTAAATCAAATGTCATTTAGATTGCAACTTCTTACGCCCAACTTGCCCGACTCGGGCGCAAAGTCGCGCGTCGAAACGCAGATCCGCGTCACCCTCGACCTCGCACAACCGACCGCGCCGTTCGCCCGCGTCGGCTCGTGGAAATGGCTGCGTCTCCCCAGTGGGACCGCGACCAAGAAACGCACACGCAAAGAAGGCAAGATCGGTGAGTTGTTTATTCTATTGTTGCTGTGGCGCCCAAACCTTGTCTCTAATCGCTGACTTGTGATTCTTTGGGGTCGGTGTAGACCCCCAGCCCGAGGACATCCTCCAGCTCTCATGCGACGTCACTTGCGCGAGCGCTCCCCATGCTCGTGTCGTTTGCTGCTCGTCGTGCCAGAATCGCGACGTACGTGCGGGATTGCCGGCGTGTCCAATCAGTTGAACTCAATATTGACACGCCTCTGATTAGTCTAAGCGCGTTGCCCGGAAGATTGCCCAACGCGTTCGTCCTCAGCCGGCAGAGACTTCTGCACCCGACGCGGCAAACTCTCCCTTCGGGATCGTGCAGTTTAACTACGCCGAGGTTCTCGACTTCGCGACGGGCTCGGCCGTCTTGCCCCTGCGCATTACATGTTATTTCCGGCACCACCGCGAGCGCCGCGGGTTCATCGTCCGCTTTCGCGTAACGGACATCAATGGTCGTATCGTTGGGGAAGGAGCGAGTCCACCGATC